AACCACAAACGCCGCTCCATAATTGGTTGAACTATACCAAATTAAAGTTTTATATCTTAATTTGTGGGTTAGTTACTTTAGCATTTTAAAAGATTTTGCTTAACGACACCTTTACATTTATTAATGGTAAAAATTGAAAAACAAACTTTTCGCGGCGTAAACATTTTTTTTATCGATATTGTGAGTCAAATTTGAATACATGATAAACAAATATAATTATTTTAAAATAAACTTTTATTTTTATTAACTTCAATAACATATCCAAAATTATTATATTTTTTTCAGGGTCTCCAAACTATGCTTTGGCCACGAAAAACGTTTAACACAAGACGAAATGGAGGGGCAAATATTTCGCAGCAATATAACCTCGGTCTGTCTGTTCTTCAAAGATTGGCGCTGGGAGCTGATGTTCATGAAGCAACCGGATTTTATGCTCAAGTACAGTGTGCTGGTCTCATATATAACACTCGTGTGCGCCATTGTCATGCAGGCAGTCAATTCATCGTAAGTAAAATGCAGGCGAATAACTCTCGTACTCAACTTGACAGTGAAACAATTTTCTTGCAGGCCAACAGAAGCCTTTTGGGCGCTAGTGGCGGTTGGCAATGTATTAATGCTGCTGCTGCTGGCTTTGGTTTGGTACAAAAAACTCTGGATAATGTTTATTAGCGAAACGGAATTGTCAAGGCCAAAGCAAAGTTTCAGCAAATGGCTCTATAAACTCTCCGATGGCATACAAAGCAATATACTTGTGCGCAGCAGTATCTACTTGGTGGTGATTATACTGCATTCAACCGGTATCATCTTGCAATTGGTAGGCAATAAGAAACGTGGCTTAAAAATTAGATGAAGTTAAAAATTATACTGAAAATGAACTGATACTATTAAACTTTATTTACAGTTAGATTGCAATAAAAGCGCTGCTGTGGAGGAAGCTATTTTGGGCACTGCGAGAAATGAGACAACCTGCTTCAATGCTTGGGTGCGTTCAAATTTTAGCAGGAGCCATAATAAATATAATATATATAAATTTCTAAAATAATGATTCTCTCTTTAAATACAGGCCGTCACCGAGTGCTTTATGCTCAGCACTTGCATCACCTTTCTCTTTACGCGTATTCCATTCGTCTTGAAGGCGAGTGTCGGCATAATGACATTGGTTTTCTATACCGTTGTTGTAACCTTGTCGTATAGCTACGTTTATGGTCAAAGTCTGAGCACGAATGATACGCTTTATCCAGAGTATTCACACATATTTGTAATGTGCATTTCTGTAGGCATATTCCATTTGATGGACAGACAAACGGAATTTATTGCTAAAGTGGACTATAAGTGAGTGCTACCGAAAAAAAAAAATTATTTTAAAAATATTTTTAAATTCATTGTTTTTAATTTTAGCTGGAAACGTCAATTGCTCAAGAAGCAGGACGATGCCAAATTCACAAATGAGACCATATCCATTCTCATCAATAATATACTGCCATCACATGTCGGTGAGTAACATCGGAAGAGCGTATTGTGAAAGAGAGGAGTATAATTATACAAAGTAAAGCACTCGTTGGCGTATTATTTTCGAACATAATATAAATTCTAGCCTACAAAAATTATAACAACATTTTCTGCCACCTTATCCGAGTTACTAAAATTTGTATAGAACATATAATTTATACATATTTCTCCTTTTAGCCGATATTTACATGTCGCGTCAAATGACCAATGAGCTTTACTACGAGGAATATGATAACGTTGCCGTTATGTTCGCCACAATACGAAATTACGATACCGAACAAGTCGGCATACGAGTTTTAAATGAGATTATTTGTGATTTTGATGAAGTGGTAAGTGACTTTAAATATTCCTGCATGCTTGTTACTAAGTAGTGCCATGTAATTGTGTATTCTTGCCACCATGACGTCACTTTAGCAATGCAAAGAGACAGAATTGTTGAGGTTGGGCTAATATCTTGTGTCATAGGAACTTAAAATCATTGCAGATGTCATATATTAATCTTACTCTTAATTCAAAGAAAAAGATAGTATATCGAAGTTATGGCGGAGATGCAAGTTATGGCATATATGTATGTACATAGGTGTTGACAGTTTTCGACGGACTTATTGATTATGCTCTGTTCATCATCGTTTTTATCGAAATAGATCATAGGAACCTTTTATAAAAGGTCAAAATCCTTTCTTTACTAACTCTTTTGTGCAGCTGATTGAAAATTTTGTTAGAATTTCGACTTCCTGATCGCAATTTTATGCCTGGAAATAATTATCTATGAAATGTCATGAAGTTTGTAATCAATGGCCCCTGCACACATTCAAAGTTTTATTTAATTACTCCAGGCTTGGACGTGGAGTGAAGCAGAGCCCTTAGATATAAATCTACGGCACAAATTTAGTAGGTTATAGGAATAATAAGACAGTTCAAAGTGGAATAGGCAAATTACAACCGAAATATAAGGCAAGAAACATAATTCCTTCTAATTTAAAATTTTTGGTAGCTTAGTTTCGGAGACTCTAATACAAAGTCGTAAAATTATAATATATTGAAATTCTTAAATTTTTTCTCGTCTTTCGAAACGCTGAGAGTAAAATTTCTATGTACTGGATCCATCCAGATAAGCCTCACCTAACCGATAGGTTAGCTATCTGTTTGGTAGATTATCGCAATTTGTATGACCCCAACGGAACTTAAAATGTTCATTCAATTTGGGCATTAATTGAGCATTGATTATATTTAAAATACCTATTTATAATAGTACCACTTTGCTTTTTTATGGGTCTTGCCAACATAACCTCAAACATGTACGAGTATGTATGGTGCTTCGCGATTTTATTTGTATAAAGTATAAAATTTGTGAAGTTCTTGTGGTATTCCATGTGGCTTAAAAAAAACTTTGGCACCAAAGTCAGTGATCCTCAAAGTTTAAAGGATAAATTATTCTACAATTTGTGGTATTAAGGATTATATATGAAATCGTAAGGTCTGGCAACTCCATAGAACCGCCATATTCAATTAATTAAGAGGATAACATATCACTTAGTACTATGTGGTTTCGATACAATGCCAAGGTGAAGAAGGGGATATTTTGAGCGACTTAACCAAACTTTGGGAGAGGATTTAAAAATCGAAGAGATCTCTATTCCTAAGATAAGATCAAGACATAAAAGAATTTGCAAAGACACACTGAAAGCAAGTTATCAAGAATTAACCCGCCCTTGAACTCAAGAGTGACAGCTTAGAGCTGATCATAGTCTCTTTTTAGCTAAGCACTTATACGGGCACGAGAAAAGTGGAAAAGATCAAAGTCGCGGGCTGGACTTATATGGCGGCTTGTGGTTTGGATCCAAAACGGTCGGAGCATCGGAAAACCCAAACTGCTTATCGCAGCTCCTCATTACTGCCCAATGGACGCAGGAGTCATTATTGTAAGCAAATTCGCCCGCACCGAAAACTCAAGGTGTTATTTCATAAAAAATATTTATATATATTTGAATATAGCAAGTCGGCAGCATGACATCGATGAAGAAGCGCAGCTTGGCGATGATGAGCAGCCCACAACCAGCAGACAAGCCGACGTTCAGTTCATAAGACTGCAGGAATACGAGGGTCACAACAAGAAGACTTACAAATCGGAGGATTATAACGATGTGGTCTTTGTCATGTTGCAATTCGCTTTGGAACTGATGCGCACAATGAAGTGCTTCAACGTCGAGAATCTGCAGTGCGAAGCTGATGACGAGGACTGTGGCGCTTTGCGTATAGGTAATAAGATGCGTTTATGTTACCGAAAAAAAACATTATATAACATCTAAATACTGTTATTTATTTACCGCTACAAGGCATCTCCAATGGTCCTGTTATGGCTGGTGTGGTGGGTTCTTACAAACCGCATTACGACATCTGGGGCAATGCGGTGAATATGGCCTCGCGTATGGACTCAACCGGTATAGCCGGTTCCATACAAGTCACACAGAATACCGCAAAAATATTAGAATCGTATAATGTCAAATGCACTTATCGTGGGCTGACCTTCGTTAAGGGGCGTGGTCATATACCTACGTACATTGTTAATGTGTATGAGTCGCTTCATTTTGTAAAGATTCGTGAGGAGGACGATGTGGAAGAGGAGACTACGAGTAATTTAGATTATGAAAGTGCCAGCTGCTAGATTTAAGACTATCGACAAATAGTTTTAAGTTATTTTTTATATTAATTGTGTACATGAAGTATTAAGATTTAGTATTCTTTTGTTTAAAAATGTGACTAGTCAATAAATTATATTTAATAGTAAAAACCAAATAACTTGTATACTCTTGCAACATGTTGCTACAGATTATAATCGTTTTGTTCACCTAACGGTTGTTTGAATCACCTAAAACTAATCGAGATAGATATAGGGTTACTTCTAGATATAGGGTTATATAGTAGATAAAATCGGGTGAAAATTACAAGTATGTGAAGTACCTTAATGAAACTCAGAGAGCATCTATTTCTTTTAATAATATGTAGAATTGCCAAAAAGTTCAGCAACCGTATTCGTTAGATTTTAATGAAAAATTGGGTTAAACGTTGGTATGCTTGTAATGGCTCAAGAACCTACTGTATTCGAAGCCGATAATAAAGTTCTGTGTTAAAATACATGAAAAAAATTTTGTCAATCCGGTCAAATTTGATCATATGATACCACATACTCCTTTCTTCTTGTATTTCATCCACTTTGTTTTTGCTTTAAATAATCTTTTATTCATTTATTTATATTTTAATATATGTATACATACAGATAAATTCATGAATACATCCAACAACACTTATGGATATTTGTCTTTTCGCCTGTTTAAATATTTGTACACACGTATATTTGTATATTTTCATATGCACATATGTATATGTAGATACTGTTACTTGTAAGTATGCATGTACTAAATATAGTCAGGATATAGTAGGTTTAGTAAAAAATCAAGTTTAAAAATATTTTCGAAGCAATAAAAAATTAATTTTAAATTATAGAAATTTTTTCAAACATTATAACTTTATTTATTTGTATGTATGTATTTATTACGGTCATTATATAAAGCATTTATGTAAAAGTTTTCAAAAGCGTCACAGATTTTGTGCTCTAGTTGGCCTCCCCAAGCCATTCAAAATATATATAGTATTATATATACATATATAAATTGTTTGTATGCATATATATAAATATTTGTATGGGTATATATAAGTATATATATATAAGTTAGTTAGTAACTATGGTATGTAAATGTGTATATATAAATATATTATTATGCAAAACAGAAAAACTTTAAAGACAACAAAAAATACTTAAAATATGCACCAAAAAGCACACAAATTCAAATAAGCACCCTAATGTGACGGCACACATACCAACACACAAGCATATATTTGTTGTATTTTAACTTGTGCTTGCATATAAATGTGCGTTCGCTTGTATATATGTAGCTGATTTATATAATATTTCGATATATGTATGTTTGTATGCATTTAGCACCCACTCTATCCGCATATCTTCTTTAGCAAATAACATATACACATACATAAACCGCTACATAACTGCATTAAAACATAGAAACATTAATGGAAAGTAAGAGAACATAGAGTTTCAACTTCGCGACTATTTAACTGCACAGCATTACACAACCCAAACAAATCAGCTGCTTGTCCACACATATATACATACAGTATATATATTTATTCATTAGCACCCGTTAGCAGCACAGCATCCTCCGGCAATGGTTTGCGCTTATACGAACCCTCGGTCACAAGATAAACTACCAAAGCGCCGAAAATCACATAGACCGCGCCTAAGCAGTTACCCATGACGCCAGCGCTCGAAAACGATGAATAATCGGAACTGTAAAAAGAGAGAGAGAGAGAGCATTTCATTACTAGTCGACCAAACAGACCGGCGTAACTGTCGAAAAAATACTCACATAGCGAATATAGCCTTCTCGGTGATACCCATGAGGCCGCTTGCTATAGCCAAGACGAAGCCGAAAAGTCCGAAGTATATGTGCAATGGCATGTAGGCGACCTTAAGTTGCTGCCGCCAGCCAGGTGCGAGATAGGCTGTAAATCCGGCTACATACTGCAAGCCGAAGACGATGACAGCGCCCATACCCATCCACGAGTGCAACGAGTACATGTTCGGTGTTGGCGGAATGGCCAGGTTGTGCGAATCGAAGACGGTGATCAGTGCAATAACGGTGAGTACGAAGGCTGTCAAATGGATGCCGGCATGCGCCCACTTGAGCGTCTTCTTGCGCACATTGCGGAAGCCACGGTAGACGAGTATGGCTGTAAAGTGAACGAAAGTAATCAATTAGTGGAAATATATAAATACAATAGAAATAAATATATATGAATACAGTGTATTTCGAAAGATGAGACCTTGCTTTTAAAGTCTAGAATAATTATTACTTTGGTAACATGTTCTGCTCTAAGTTGAAATATGGCATAAATTCGTAAAGTTTTCAATCTTTATCGGAAACCGAAGCTAAAATGTTGCATTGGCTCTTCAGGTAAAAAGAATTCAACAAAAAACTAAACGCAGAGCTCTTCTCGATGATCCGAAAATGGCCAAAACAGCTGATAGTTAACTAAAAATGTTAAAAGTACCATTAGAGCAAGTGTAAAAACGATAAACCCAAAAGTGTTTTGTGCCACGGTCACGGATTGATGTTACTTGATAACTGAAGCGTCTTCCAAGCTGCCTCCAAACTACGGAGGTATTTTTACGATACGTCCCTTCTTCAACACTTCTCTAATGCATTCCACCTTTTCGGACATAACCAAATGCAAACAAAAACCTCTAGCTCGTCAAATACAATTCGCTAACTTGTCTGAATCTCTAATGAAGAGTCGATGGTGTTCTGAATGTTGCTGCCAATAGACAACATTGTACATACTATAGATATGCTTCTAAGTCCCGTCCCCTAAGTCATAATTTGTCCTATAATAGTGGTGATATGTTATAAGTAAGTCTTTCGTCCGATTCGGTAGATGTTATAATATGTTATATATGTATATATTTTGTTTCTGTGTTATCATATGGTCAGTTCGTATAATTATTTTTTTAAATGTTCTCTATTATTTGCCGTGTGTAATATTGTTATACCCTGAACAGGGTGTATTAAGTTTGCCACGACATTTGTAACACACAAAAGGAAACTTCAGACCCTATTAAGATATATGTATAAATGATCGGCGTGACGAGCTTAGTCGAGCCGTCTATATATATACGCAGTAGTCCCTCAGTTTTTGAGATATCGATATGAAATTTTGCGCCCACCCTTTTCTCATCAAGAAGCTGATCATTTGTCGGAGCCGCCGATATCGGATGATTATAGCGTATAGCCGCCATACACACTGTACTATCGAAATAAAGTGCTTGTACGAAAAACTTTTTATTTGTCGAGAGATCCTCATAAAATTTGACACGGCTTATTGTCCAAGGCAAGGATGCAGCCTCTTAAGAAATGGTTCAGATCAGATCACTATATCATATAGCTGCCATACAAACTAACCGATCGAAGCTTTTGTAAGGAATTTTTTTTTTTTGAGGGCTATTAAAGCTTTGGTACAACCGAAGTTAACGTTTTTTCTTGTTAGCCCTAAAACTAGACATTTGGCCATGATTCCTCCCGATGTATTCAGAAGTTCGTGGTAGTTGAATTTAACTCAAAAATACTTTCGAAAGGTTGGATGTTTGCCAAGAACTCACGGCTCCCTAAGTAGTAATTCAATAGCAGTAGTAGAATCATATATCTAAATTATTGTTTGCAACAAAATAGTCTTAAGCAAAGTAAATGCGTAGCACTAAGCGAAAATTAAACGTAACCACAATAAAATGTACAGCGCTTGTAAAAAAATATAAAGATAATTACAATATAAAAACTGCCCACAGCTGTATAAATCAACTAACACCGCACATATTTATACATAAAAGGTATGAAAGTGTGTGTCAATGCACCCACACACACACTCACATATACACACTTACATACAAATATGTTTATGATATACTAATAAGTTTCATATATCCATATGTTGACACACTACGATTTATAACACTTGTTTTATGCTATGCCACTCAGCACTGGGCTGGGTATGCTACTTACAATTGCCGTATAAGAATATCAGGCCGATTGTCATAAATAACGGATGCCAATTGAATTCGAGCCCGGGATTGGCGGTGCCGCCAACGCCACCGAAATGTATGCCAACCCAACAGCTAACCAAAATGATCATCGTCAAGCCGCAGAGTTGCGTCACCACGTACAACACCTTAAAGTTCGTCAGTGTGGCATCCTCATCCATTTTGCCTATAATTAAATATAATATAATAAATATTTTATTACATATAAATTATTACTTATAAATAAAATGTATGTACTTGTATGCAAACGATTGATATAAATATTTATGGTTATGGTACTTCATATAAGTACTTTATTTTTAATGCAATTACTATTATATATACATGTGTATATGTATTTATATATAACTGTTTATTTACGATTCTATCGCTTTGGAAATAATTGGAGCATACGAGCAAAGGTGCAACATATTTTTTGCGTTTACCCTCTCGCCACCCAACCACTTAGTTGTTGGCGCGTTAAGGAAAGTTTCGAACACATTTGACTCTAAATGACTAAACAAATATAAATACGAGTACAAAAGCATATATACTATTGTAGTTATGTCAACAAAAACATGCATACTTGCATATATAAACATAGCTTTCCACTGGTTAACACATTTCCGAACAAAGTGGTGCAGTGTTGTTGGCAACATTTGTAATACAGGGTGGGAAGGGGTTTGTAATTACAAAAGCATATGTGAGAGGTGTAATATTTATTTATTTATTTTTTACTTAGTTTGGGAATTCATAAAACTAGTGTTCTGCTTTGGTTACACTTGTTAAAATTATATTATTTACATACATATATCGGGTGTATATTTTAGTGATATAAAATTTCCTTTAGTGATAGCGGTCAAAGCAACTGTCAAAGTATAAAATTTGTTTTACTTTGCTGTTTAAAAATCGTAAAAATGTTTTTCTAAAAGCCGGCAAATTTCCATTCACATTTTTACCTTCAATTCGTCTTCAACGAGAACAAACGTAAATTTTCTCGCCACATGAATATGGGAAACGAAATTGCTTAATTTTGTAGTGCGCACAATTCTAATGAGACTCTTCAAGCTTCCTTGAATCCAAAAACAGAAAAGTTACTATCCTCAGTGATTAGCACATCGGCGGCATTTTTGGTCCTATTGTCTTAAAATAGAAGATGGAGCCTGTTACCGTTCATTGTGAGCACTACAGGCATACCATTCGGGACTCTTGCTTTCCCACAACCCTAAGTGGCAGAAATCATCACTTTAGTGGAGGAACTATTGCTGTACAAAAAATGTATACAAATGGGGCCTCGAATTAACTATCTAGGTCATGTGATTTGACTCTTGAGAACTTAATTCTTACAAGTTATTACCCCCAAGACCTCTTATTGCATTTCGTTTGATGACAACAGCTGAGCTTATTGAATTTTTTCGCAGCCAACTTCACACTTAACCGCTTTACCGTTATATATTTGAACAGCTGATATAGTAAGGCTTGTTTGTAAAAAATTAGGATTAATTTCGAAGCTTGACATATGGGTTCCTCTCTTCTTACAGAACGAAATTTGCTTCGTCGCATTAACAACTGCGATTTGCTTATCAAACGTCAAAGAAGTGATCCAGAAGTGGGTTGTTTACAAGAATGTAAAGCGCAAGAGATCATGGTCCAAAAAAGAATGAATCAGCTCAAACTAAAACTCAAAGGCCGATAGTCACCAAAAAAGATTATGCGTTATAAAAGGTCTGTTTAATTCTTAAGTGTATTGAGATAACTAGGACAAATTGAGTGACTCAGACAAGTGAAGCCAGTATTGGTCAATAGAAGAGGTATAGTGTTCCACCAAGATAATGTGAGACCTCGTACAAGTTTGATGACTCACCAAAAGCTTTTGCAGCTTGAATGGGATGTGATACCCATACCCAACATATTCTCCAGACTTGACACTTTCGGACTATTACTTGTTCCGGTCTCTGTACTTAAATAATCGGCGTTTAATTTGAAAAATTTTGGATTTATTTATCCAGTAGCCGATCTCCAGGGGCTCCGAAAAAAAAGGTGTCTGGTGGTGAGAAATATTTTTCTGCTTAAAACTAACCAAATCCAAGAAATATATTGTAACAATAGATGAATACTGGTAATGATTTAGATAAAATGGCGGATTTCCAAAATCTTTGCGGTTTTTTGCGAAAAAATCGAAATAAAAAATTAAAATCGATCCATATTTGGCACTAGTTCTAATATACCGAGTATGAGAATCTCTGTACCTCCGTTAAATTGTATACCGTATACTTATTTTAATATGTAAAATATCAAATTTGTTCAAATTAAGTAAATACAAATTCTTATTATCGGTGCCAAAAAGGCGTGACATTGGTGGAAACTAATAACCGAAATTGGTAGCATTATAGTCGTTGACATACAAGTATTATATCATTTATGATGTGCTTGGACGATTGGAAGGCTACAAATTAATGAAATACTTTGGGTTTTTGGCCTTGTCACCGCTTAACTAATCTCTTTATCAACGAAATATTGACAGATTAAAGTAGCATTGAAGTTTCGATAAAGCATTGAATTTTATAACTGTATTTACATTACATAGAACTACCATTAGAGAACTCCAAACAATCAATATCATAAATGTACACTGAAAGCAATAACAACTGTTGCATTTGTATTTTAAATGTATATACAAGTACATTTGTACATCGGCAGGTGGGTCAGTATAAGTGTAGCTAAATATAGATCAAGAAGATGTCGCATAAACTTATACGAGTCTCAATTACACGCTCTATCCCATATCTAACTGTATAATCTCTAGTTAATTAAAAAATTTATGTCGGCACGTATGCTGATAACGGTATAAAAATCGTTTTACTATCGCCACTATCGCTTGTAAAAACCATGGCAATTATATACACTACTCGGATGCGGTGATGATCGATGCGAGCGCATAAATATATAATTATTTGGGTGCACCTATTTTTAAGTACATTAGTTACTATTTAAAGCGCGTTGATAAAATTATAATTGTCGTAATGCCGGCGAAATTTCCAGAAGATCATAAGCCTCATTAATCATTTTTTTTTTTGGTTTGCTGTCAATAATTTCCTCTGTGACTAATTCCCAAAGAGTGATGTCGCAAATTTCGGAATAATTTTTTCTAACAGAAATAAAAATATTCGCGTGGATACCAGAAAATTATAGTAGATAGTAACCAAAAAATAAAGATATCGAAGAAAATATAATTAAATAAAACTATACCAAGTTCACAACGAAAAGTCTCTACTTCAAAGAAAGTTTTAGTTATCTTTGATTTGCTAGTTTTCACCAAGTGGTTAATCGAAGAAATAATTGGTATAAAGCAAATAAACTGGTATAATGAAGCACAGCTGAAATAGCAACTGATTATACCAACTTAATGGGGACTTGACTGCACTTAATTTTTAGTTTTTAATTCCACTGGAAAACTTTTTTGTTAGATAAATTTCAAACATTTTTTGAGTAAGTGAGCAGAGCTCTAACATAACAAGTAGTGAAGTGGTGAATCAAAAATAGCTATAAGAATATACGTCATAACTTTTCCTCTTTTGAATGAGAATGTAAGACTATACGAATGGGTTTTTATTCAGCAGTTTCAGCTATCATTTTCTTGTGCTGAATGTTAAAAGCATCGAAAAGATCGAAGTAATCTCAGAGTTTCCATACAGTTAATTTGATAACCAATATATGGAACTAAAAATGAGAAAAAAATTTTAAATAAAAACATTTTTGAAATTGAAAAAAATAGGAGCCTTTCGCAAACAAAGACATCGTTTAAAAGCTTAGCTTCCCTAAACTTGTCCATGAACCCAGGCATTTTTATACATCTACTTGTAGTAGATTATAACTATTTTGAAAGTTTACTAGATATTATATTATATATTCAATTTGATTCGATTCGCGCAACGCATCGCCCTCTGTCCCACGTTCGCGGAATGCGCCCAAAACGAGATGGACACCGATGCCGATTTTCACAAGAAGATATTGTTCAGTGATGAAACTCACTTTTGGTTGAATGGGTACGTTAATAATTAATGAATGATGAAGACGACACTACATGCCATACAGCCACATTAGCAAATTATATTGTGTCGTGGGCCTATGGCGTAGTCTCTAAGATCGTTGCGCTCCAACACTCTGGACTATTGTTGTGGGGTTATGTTAAGTCGCTTATTTGTATACGCAGATAAACTCGAAATGAGGTCTTAGCAGAGAATATTCTGCGCGTTATTGCTGACATAGGGCCCCAATTGCTGCAGAAGTGTCGAAAACTGTGCCTTTTGGCTGGAATTTATTCGGGCCAGCCGTAACGGTCACTTGCCCAGAATAATTTTTAAAACATAATGGCGAACACTTAACTTTATAATTTAACTTTTCATCGCTTTAACCGAGCAATTATGGGTTTCCCAGAGCGGAGGTATGAGTTTCGTGAACCGGGCAAAGTCATAGAGAGTTAAATCTGGTGAGGAAAGTAGAAGAGTGATGACTTTTGTTTATTTCGACCTATACTAGAGGTTTTTGATTTTGAAACAACTTGAATAAATGTCACAAATCTTTAAGCGCTGTACTCCATGAAAGCAAAGTCAACGTCAAATTTGACAGAATTTTTACAAAACCAAAACAGGTAGCGTGACAATAACTTTCAACTATAATATTCCATCTAGGTATAACTTTTAATAATTTTTGACTTTTTGGCAGTAAATTAAAAGAACAAAATTTACTTCGATAAATTCGCAAAAATACAATGGCTGATAAGAATAGTTCCAAGCAGAAGAAAATAACAAAAAACAGAAAAAAATCACGGCCATGCGATGAAGTATAAGCCACCAGCCATATGGTAACCTTGAATTGTTGGCACTTGGAACGAGGCTTGGTGTGAATATTTACATATTTACAGGCTATACATATGTACGAACCATAAATAATTTTTTCTAAATGCGTGTAAATATATGTATGTACCATACATATACATACATATATACACTTCTATGTATTTTTGCATAATTTTACAGATAACATGCAAACTTGTTGTTGTTATTTTTTTGATTTCTATTTTCTTATTCATGTGGCTGCTGCTGAATAATAATAACTCCATTCTTCAACTGTTTATTAACATTCCCATAATGTCTCCGCATAATTACAATTAAGCATGCATGCCTACATGGCAATGGAATATTAAAATAAAAAAAAAACCAAAACAATAACTTTTTCACAAAATATTAAAAATCTAAAAACGCATTTTCAAATGTAGGCGAAAACTTAGTAGCTTTCAAGCTCAGCAGCTATTAGAAAAATTACTTGGAGTTGAAGTAAATGCTTTTAATGTGTTTTTTTTACAAAATTTCATTGAATGCCACTTGATTTGAAAAAAAAAAATTGAAAATAAAAAATCGCTTTAAAATATGAATACACTTTATCGTGGAGATAAGAAGCTTTGGAATTTTTTGAAATCATAAAATTTTATTATACTTTGAAACAGAGTTGCCAGCCGTATTAAAATTGTAAATACATGTTAACCAAAAGTTAAATGAAAAATGTAAAATGGGTTAAAAAGTAGTGTTATGTGAAAAAAATATTGCAAAATTATGACTAAACAAGGCTGCCACCTGATTGGATGTTTAAAAAATTAACAATTAATTTCGAAATTTCTATAAAATATTAGTACTTTAGGTTTGTCATTCAGATCGACTTTACCCATTACATTCCTATGTTTTATTTTTAATTTTCTTATACCTTTTTGACGCTTCTTACGGTACGAGTATATATGTATTTCATTCTGGAAAAGAGCTAACCCCGAATTAAAAATGTAAAACTGAACAAAATATAATAGTAGAAAATGTGTGTCAAACATACGGCATTTGATGCAAACCTTATTGAGTGGAGTAGCCACCTATTGATCATTTAAAATTATCTAAAATGTTACAAAATGTGTGCCCAACCTGTACCTGTCTTTCGATAAAACTTTCCGTCAAGTATTCTTTCTCAATTAGACAAATTTTGGAATAGAGTTGTCAGCTTTTCGACAAAATAAACTGAGCAAATATTATATTACAAAATATAACTGAAGCTACTCTTGATCGCATATGTATATATATAGAATATATATATATATATATATAAATCATATGTTTTGTAATTAAAAAAAACATTCTGATTTAAGAACCTGAAACTAATTTTAAATATAATATAATATATAAAAAATTGTTAATCCAAAATCTTTGCGTAGATAAAATTACATATATATATTTGTACACATGTATATTAAATTTCATCGCAGAAATAAAACTGCCATACCATAATTTGTCTAATTTCCTATAAAACAGATCCTCTCTGTTAGACAAGCGTGCAAATTATATTATGAAGAGCAAATATAAATTTCCACTTGATGACTATATTGCTCCATATCTCACCATATGTGTTGTATATATGTATGTATGTATATTAAAATTATTCGAAAGCTATGTGATCTTAAGTTTTGCAATAAAGATGCCTTAGCTTTGTTGATATTGGACACATTTTATGATACATATCATCCTAATACAGACACATGACAGATAAAGTTATTTGTATGTCTGTACCAGTTCACATGTGTCTATTTATACACATGCATATGTACATATGTATGTATGTCTGTATGAATAAAAAAAATTCAAATAAATATTAAAACTAGATTGTGTAGAAAACTATTTTTCCCGGCGCATATCATTGAAAAGTGATTTTTATCGCACATTGTCGGATATATTTTATATTATAATATATTATATATGTATACACGTGCATATTTGCGCAATAGTAGAGCGGAGCGACTGACTCTATTATGGCAATAAATACATCATTTAGACACTCAGATTCACTGATACTATTGCAAGAATTATTTTTTTTTTCCAACTTTCTACAATTTTTCTGAATTAAATTAATTTAGTTAGCGAGACTGTATTTATTGCCATAATACATCATTTGGACACTCAGCTCCACTGAGACTAATACAAAAATTATATTTTTTCCTACTTTCTACAACTTTTTCTAAACAAAACTAATTTAGTAAGTGTTAGTATGAATTATTTTCTCCCATGAGAGTCGCTCCACTCTACTATTGTTCTTTAATAAATTCGTTAAATCTCGGCTAACAAAAGTACAGTAGTGAATCGATACAACATACAGTTTGTATTTTAAAAGATCTATGCTTGTATCGGCTATTCAGATTCTTGGAATCACACAATATAATGTAGTGTAAACACTTTGTGATGTGACGATCAAACTTTACTCACTTTACGCTTAAAAGAAAAAGTCAAAGTAGACTTGATTTTGTTTCTTAAAATGGAGAGCTGTCAAAAATTAAAATGGCTATTTGACAGCGCTTTGTCGAATTTTCGAATTTCGTTTCTTAGCATTCTTCAGTCGGATTTTACTGCGTTCAAAGCCATCATTTGGCTTTAGAAGTTTTCTAACTATGTAAAATGGAGCAAAAGAAAGCAAGCAAAGACATTATGATAACTTGAAAGTAGATTATCAGGTCAAGTTCACAATAAATTTGTAAACAAATATGAAACTTAGTTTAATCAAAATACACTGACGCTTTAAGCAAATACCTTTTGATAGCGATCTTCAAATGAAGTCCTTAACTCAGTAAGTAATATCCCTTATAATATATATAATAATCCCTTAAGCTAAACAACTTGACAAAAACGCATATTTTCGTGGATCCCAAGGGAAAGCATTAAACTGGAAGTCATTACTGTGTAGCTCAAGGAGTGTGTATACAAAAATGATGGTACAATCCTTTCAGAAGGAGAAAATATTCATCTTAGCAAATAAAACTGACGAAGCGAAAAATTGAAAGGTCACATGTTTTAAGTATATTATGGTCGCTTCGGCAACAACTCATGAAATTGAAGCGAAAGCTTGCCGAAAAAGCCCTGAATTCGCAAGTTTTGTCTCAACAGCTTTATAGGCCAGAGCTTACACCTTCTCACTAGCAATTGTTCCTGTCGCTGCAGTATGCCCTAGCTGGAATACGGTTCACAACAAAACAGGGTAGCAACAATTGGTTCGCTTCATTCTTAGCCGCCAGCCAAACCGGCGCATTTCCTTTGGGATGGAAACCACAAATTGTCAGAAAGATGGGAAAATGTTTTACAAGTACAAGCAGCCGATGGCCCATATTTTGAAGACCATTGCACATATTTTTGCTAATCTAACGTTCAAATTTGGCAACGCACGAATAGAGTTATAAACCCAATATATATATTTATACTTATACCTAAGGTCACATAAAAATAATAATAACTAATGAAAACTCCCGTTGTCCAGCCTATGCAAATTTATATTAATTGTTTGTGTGACGCCAGAGTCATGTCTACAACATTTTTACTAGCGATTTCTCATATATGGCAGCGTGAGATATTTAATTTAATGGGTGTGTATATTTGCCAACATATTTATTTACATACCTACTCGTACATATGCATGTCTACACGTTTGTACTTATGGGCCTGCATGTTTACAGAAAAAGTCATGTTTCAACACTTGTCCATAAATATTTATATGCATATACAATACATATGTATGTACATATGTGCGCATATACTTGTATAGTATAAAATGCTCCAGCATGACACATCAAATATTTGCATTTAATTTATAACGGTATGTATTTTAATTAATTGAAACACTCAACAAAAGGGCAATGCGATTGGGTTACAGACGCTAATTACTTTTACTTGAGACGAACAAACAGCGCGCCTGCATGCATATACCCATACATTTGTATGTATGTATGTATTTTTGTATGTTCAAGCGCTGAGCTGGCATCGCTGGCCGCCCATAGAAAAGCTAGCATTGGAAAATAATGGAAAAATTCACTTTGCACAACAAACGAATAAGTTGCAAACGACCAAAAGTGAAAAAAGTGAAATTGAGCGCAGACGCGCACAACGGTGCGCTCCAGAGGCGAACACGAAGCGCCGCAGCGCCTGATCGCATTTAATGCGCTAACTTTGACAGCATCGCGCGCAGCCCGCAAATGAACAGCCACAACACAACATATATAAGTATGCATGCATGTAGTTATGTATGTAGCTGAGATATATAAAAGATTAGTAAATGTATATGTATGTATGTATGTGCATTGTGGCAGGCAGGCCGGCTAAACAACTTTTACTGCCGCAAATCGACTTGTTGCAGCTGGCTAATGACCAAATGTCAAGGCGACGCGTCGCGACGTCGGCGGGATAGCATCCGTACCACCATCTCTACATACATAGGTATGTATGTGTGCGCGTATGTTTTGTGCGCCGCTGCTCGCTTGCCAAACCAGTGCATGCACGTCATTTACCTGCATTAGATTGTTGCATCGGCTCGATGTTGGCCTGCAAGCCACCACCGGTTTCGCGTTTCGGTTGCGACGGCGTCTGCTCTTGCGCCGCGACCGTGGCGATTGCCTCCTTGTTTACCGTTGCCGGCGTTGTTACAGTATTGCCATTCGTTGTCGTTGCATCGGTGCGCCCGGCCGAATCCTCCGTCGCTGGCTTGGCGGCGGCCACAACGACGACGGTGGCGGCGGGGGTGTCGCTGACGCTTTCCACATTGTCGCTGGCAACAACATTTTCCACTTTGTTGCCGATTTCAATATCTTTATCGTTTTCGGACGGCATGATTTCTATATATTTGCCACTTAATTCGATTTGTTAACTGCTTTGTTTTTGTTTTTTATGTTATTAGTTTTGTTGTTGTTGTCGTTGTTTTATTTGATTTGATTTTTGAAATGTTTTCGCTGCAATTTTGTGCAACGCTTTTGCTTTGTGTGTCGCACGCAACTCTGCAATGCACACCAATGGCCAACAACAACAACGGTGCACACTAAATTGTTGTACAACAAGAAAAATCGAAACAATAACAATGCCGTATGGCAATTAACGCGCTCGACTCTTTTTACTTAATTTTGCTTTTCGAATTTTTTGTTGTTGTTCTTATTTTTATGTTTTTCTACGTTCACTTAAATTAACCAACGCGAATAACGGTCGCTTCACTCGCAATGCAATCGTTTTAACTAGGAAAGTGAGCAGCGAAAATTACACTCGATCGTTTAACATGCGTTTAATGCTCGACGTTTTGTTGTTATTTATTTTTATATATTTTTTTTTTAATTTATTGTGTTTTTATTTGCTGCTTATGAAAACATGCAAATCTAAGTCGACGACGACGCGATACAACACAGCGTTCTGGTGGTTTTCTTGCGACTGAATCGTCGTGTTGCGGCTGTTTGGGCATGAAGCTCGTCGCACAAGCCAAAAGCGTTAGCCGTCAACAACACTTGCTAGCTACCTGCCGTACCGCACCGCAGCCGCTCCACGCTGTCGGCCGCTGCTACAGTTGAATGTCGTAAAAATAGGTACAATTAGAATAGCTTCAAAAAAATCAAATAAACTTTTTAATGTTTTTGTTATGAATTTTTACATATGTAACATTTTGAAGCTATTGGGATATTCACACTCTATTCGTATTCAGTTATCACTCAAAAATACATTTTTATTGGCTGGAATGTTTCAAAGATATATTTTCGAATCATAAAAACAAAGCAAAAAAAAAAACAAAAGAACACCTAATTTTAATATTAGGAGTGAAAACACTTTTAAAAAATTGTTGTTTGTGCGCTAACGACACAACGTTATATAATTGAATCATGCATTATTTGGCTAACAGCAAGACAGAGGTGATAACCACCGTTCTCATATGTAGAGAAAAGTTTACGGTAACTTTGAAATTTATATGTACGTACATATTTTTGATAAGATCAAGTGCCTTTCTGAAGTAGTAGGCTTAAATTTTGCAAAATCGCTTTTAAACTAGTATCAAGTGTAGGTTGTTGTGAGCAAAAATATAGACAAAATTCTAGTAATCGATTTGAATGAATATTATGAAAACAAGTAAGGAAAAGTCAAGTTCGGGCGTAACCGAACATTTTTACTTCTTACAACTTGCAAGGTTCAAAGCAGGGGAAATATCTTCAGGTGTGGCAAAACAAAAATCATTATTCGACAATCTTGAATGGATTACAATAAAATTTGGTATTTTATTATATTGCATTATAGGTCATAGACTCACTCAGTTTTATTTGCATCAGCTAAAATTATTGTATATTAAAATCATTATCAAATAGGATATATGTGATATAAACTCAACCGAAGAGGCTAAATTGAGGTGATGTGGAAAAGATCAACCAAAGGATGGGAATTAATTACCATATATGAATATGATATATGAGTTTTAGACCAAGACCAATACATTTATATTGATGGTTTGATGTAATATTTTGATATTATTTCTTTCATATAATTTTATAGCTTTAAGAAAATTTGTCCACTTAATTTCATTAAAGTATCATACATTTCGAACAACCTAAACAGTTTAAAGGCAGCTGGTAAGTTGGAAATCACTATACAGGCGCAGAGAAAGATCTCAGCTTGTTGCATTAACCTACGACATTGCTAACATATAATCGGAAACACATTTCCAAGCTATTTGATAAATAAATAATTCACATACTGACCGACATATTCGACATAAGGTTTTTAAAGATAACAAAAATCATTTTATGTAGTATTTAGGAGTTGGATGTAATTCGTGGACTAAAAGGGAGATCCGATGTATCACGTAAATTTAAAGAGATTACAACCATCCTAAATCCAATAATCCCAAAAAACATCTGATAGTTGATTATTCTTATGATAGACCCCGACAATTATTTGCAAATAAAACTCTCTCGAAGGCACCATTAAGTAGCTGAAATAAAGAGCGGTGACTAACGTTAATAAAAATCTCTAAATTTTAGAGTCTAAAATGAAAAAGGACTCCAAAACTATGGGCTGCAGTTAGTTAAGTTTTGTATTTCAGATTTCATGTTGAATTTCTTTTGACAATACTGTTCCTCACAATTATCAGAAATATTTATATGCGCTGTGGGCTCCAATAATAAAAATATGTGCTGAATAATTAAAGCGTTAATTGTGTGGTATATATGTATGTATGTATATATGTGAGTGCATGGATGTGTTAAGAAATAAGTAACATATGTTTTATATAATAATAGCAGTTCAATAAATTTTTGAAATTTTTTTATTTGAAGTGAGTAAGATTTTCCAGCAATAGGGTTGCCATTCGTTAATTTTAATTTAAATCTAATTCAATAACAAAGTGAACAGTATTAAGGGTACAAATAAATAGAGAGGTTTAAGGCCTTCAAAAATATTCCAAAAGGGTTCCTATAATTCAATAATATCCATTCTGCTAAAAAATATATAAATATATAAAAAGTATACCTCTCAAAATATTGTAGATGGAGCATTTATTTATTTGTAAGCGTATTCTAGATTCGGTGTAAACGAATTTAATTTTTTTTCTTATTTTTTTTACATTTTATATGATTTTTTTTTAAATGAGTTGGTGAAGGTTTGGTCTCTAATAATATGCACGCATACTGTACTCACAAAGGTTTTGCGCAAAAAAGTAGAAAAAGCTCCTAAGTAGTTCAAACGCCAACTCACAAGCACACACACAGCTGAAAATATCGCATGCGATAATTTTAGGGTTGGACACCAACATAAATATCGCATGAGATATGTTATTATTTTGTGCATATTATGTATACAATTCGTTCAGGCTTCAAGCGTCAAGTGTAAACACAAATGGCAGACAGGTAAATTTTTCGCAACTTTGCCATTTTAACGTTAGTTTGCATGTTTGTATGTATGTATGAGTGCACAAACCTTAATGTTTTTGTTTAAGTACACAAATTAACCGATTTGCAAGTAACTATGTTTATATGTATGTGTAATTTCATGCTCCGATCGAAGGCGTTCACACGTTTATCCGTATTTAGGTAAATATGTATATATGTAAGTATGTGTAAATATATTTTTAAAGTACACAAGTATGTGTTAAAAAATAATCAATCAAACCATCTAAATAATATTTGCAAATAAAAATGTGTGACGATTTGTCTCGACGATTGTAAATTTATTACGAAATATCGTTTTACGTTTGAATTCTAAATTTTACTTAGTAGAGTTGCCAATGTTCCTCAATGAGAGAAATTTTTCAATATTTTTTAAGAATTTAAAGTTTAACAACATAGAAGGTATCTAGTAAAATTTAAAATAATCAAAACTAACCTATAAAAATACTCCTGTGGTTGCCGTATTTATTTAATGTGCCATTGAATATACAATATAGAAGAAAACGCCTTAATTTTTATATCTAAGATAAGGTACAACAAAAATAGCAATTGAAATATTTTATATTTACATTCCTTCAGCAAAAAAAAAAAATCTCAAGACGTTATTGCTTACAACCACAATATCTATGTTCGATCGGCTTTACTATCAGTTCCTGGATTGTGGTATCGATCTGTGGTCTCAGTAAATAGCAGAGCTCGTAAACCTCTGTTATATAATTGGCGCTTTTACTTCTTCTTTATTTTTAATTGCGGTTTTCCAAACATTTGTTCGGTGTTATGGAGTTTGTGAGATTTTTTTTCGTGAAAAATGGAAAAACTCGAATGTTGGTTTGACATTGCCTGACAAATGGTGACCGCTATTATATCGAAACTATAATCGAATCAAGACTTTGCGTAGCGCTAATGCAGAATTCTAATAAGTACACTAAGACGATCTCTAAACCAAAACACTAAATTCTAATTGAAGCCAGTTAAAACATGGCCTTTCACATAAGCCTAAAACCCTTTCTTTAGACTAGATCTTATTTGAGCACCCAGTCGTTAAGTTTTGAAGAATCAAGCCTCATAGTTTCATTCACTAAGAACCCTAATTCTTTTCTAAAAATCTTGTCTCAAACATACCGAAAACCATCTCAAAGCTAAAGCGGCACCTTCGCGTACTTCTCTGCACCATTTATTACTTGGCTTATTTTGTTTAAAGACTATTTCTTATCTAACGAGAGACCTTCCATTTGCATATGTGTTCAGTTCAAAATCACACTTTTTAGAAAAGTATAACAACACTGTTCTTCAAATGCAAAACAATTTCTAGAACATCAGAAAATGCTTCCCCAAATAGCTATCGATCCTAAGAAGGCTCATTCATTCCGTGGGTAATACATACTTGAAAACACTCCTCATTCAATAAAATTTATCAACCAATCGCAGTTAATATAAAAATTTTCTCTTTTGACGCTCCATTTTTCGAATAACAAAACGGAGAATTTGGCGTCAAAATTCAATTGGCTCGATCCGTTTCCTTAAAGTGCGGTTTCTCCAGAATTCTGTTGTTTATTTTCGAGATATTTTTATAACTGAAGTAAGCTCAGGTGTTTAACATTTCCTGCTTTAAATCTACCGACAAGCCTCGAGGCTAAGGAATCCAGAGACGTCAGTCATCACTAATTCTCCACAGTTAACTCAGTCGCATAGTTTCCGACTCAAAATTGTATATCTAATATCTAATTAATCTCAATTGACCTCTCTTGTCTTTTGAGTATTTTAAGAAAGTTGAAAATTCTAAAAAAAAAAAAATACCTTGGCAGTCTTCAATATACAATATTTCTGTAAAGAATAATACATTTTTTCGTCAAGTGAAATTGATAAGCGACCACACCTTCAACTCCACATACCCTTTTTGACGCACAACACTTTATATATGTATGAGGAAGTTGATATGATCTGTAGTTGAATACCGAACTGTGATAGTAAGCAACAACTTTTTTAAATAATCAGAAAAACCACATACATATACATACAAACTTTTCCAAAATGGAATTAAAAGTGTGAACATTTGGAATTTTGCCGAGATTGATTTCTGCATTGTTTTGCCGCCCAACAGCCAACGTCTATTGTACACCGGCGCGGTTGCACCTGTATGGAATTTTAATGACTCACACAACAGTCATTAGTCAATCAATATGATTGCCATCAAAAGAACACATACACACTTGCACGTATGTGGGCAGATTTGTTTCTATTTTTATTGTAATTGTTTTGAATTTTCAATTTGCATTTGCAAAACTATGTTATTCACTGGCATATGGAAATTTGTATGTGCGCAAGCATATGAATATTTATCGGCACGACTGCTATTACATTGTATTAACCTCTTGAGTGCCAGATAAGTTTCAATTTTGACGTTTTTTGTGCTCTATTTAAGTTTTGTGTTTGCGATAGAGTGCACAAAAAAAGGCTTAATCAAGTTAAAAATTATCAAAATTTTTTCTATTTCTTAATTAACAATACTTTCGCCCTGAACAGGGCATAATATGTATGACACGAAGTTTCTAACACGCAAAAAGAAACTTTGGATACCCTTTAAAAAATAAGCGTGAATGATCAGGTATTATATTCTAGCTTCGATGCAGCCGAAGTAAAAATGTTTTCTAGTTTTTTTAA